CCGGGGGGTGATGCAGCGCCCCCTGGGGGGCCGGGGGGTGACGCAGCGCCCCCTGGGAGAACTCTAGGGGCCGGGGGGTGATGCAGCGCCCCCTGGGGGGCCGGGGGGTGACGCAGCGCCCCCTGGGAGAACTCTAGGGGCCGGGGGGTGACGCAGTGCCCCCTGGGGGGCCGGGGGAGCTCTAGGGGCCAGGGGGTGACGCAGCACCCCCTGGGGGACCGGGGGGGTGACGCAGCGCCCCCTGGGGGCCAGCCATGGCCATGCTGACTCTGTTCTCTCTCCCAGGGGCCCGTCCCCCTCGCGTTCCTACGACCGGCCCCGTGGCAAGAAACGCCAGCGCTCGCCCGACCATCGCTATGGACGCTTCTGACCTCTCCCCAGGCTCCTTGCTTCACCTAGCCCCCCGCCAGCCACCAGTCACCTGACCTGCCATAGACCCAGCGGAAGTGCGGCTGCTGGAGTCCCCACGGTGGGCGGGTTTGGGGATCCCTAAGTCCCCTCTCTATTTACATTCTGCTAGTAGTCTAACCCTGCGTAGCCCATGAGTGTACTGGGGGGGGCCTCTCCCTGGCTGCGGAGTCGGTAGGACCCAGGCACCGGGGAGGACTGCTCAGGGAGTGATGGTCTGAACTTTGTCCCTCCCCCCGTGTGGGATGTAATGATGAGAGCTGGAATAAACTAGACATGATCCACCCCACCCCGTCTCATTCACTCTGGGTGCAGCATGGACTAGGGATTACATTGATTGGCAGCAGGAGGCACCGTGCCATGGGGAGCGGGGCAGGGGACCAGTAGGGGGTGCTGTGCTGCAGGGAGCAGGGTTGGGGCACTGTGCTGCGGGGTTGGAGGCATGGCAAGGGTGCTGTGCTGCGGGGAGTGGGGTTGGGGGCTTGGCAGGCTGTGCCATGCTGCAGGGCAGCGGCGTGGGGGGCACCGTGCTGCGGGGAGCTGGTCAGGGGGCTTGGCAGAGGACACGTGCTGTGGGGTGGGGGGCATAGCAGGGGGCATGCTGTGCTGCAGGGCAGGGGACACTGCTGCGGGGAGTGGGGGGGGGACTGTGCTGTGGGGGGGAGCCATAGCACACAGCAGGGCAAGGGGTGCCGTGTTGCAGGGAGCGCAGGAGGGGAACTGAGTCGTGGTTTGCATTTGTCTTGTTGAGTTCCGGTCCCGAAATGAGGTTCGTTCCTGTAAAATGTGTTGTCTTGCAGCTACGTCTGACCTTCCCGCCGAACCTGGTGCTTCCTTTGGCTAAGCAGGACGCTGCCCATCTCTGTGCCTGGTTATTTACCCAGCTGTAGAGCGGCACAACCAGTGAATCAGCGTCTGAATTTTGACCTTTTTAACGATGTTAGAAAACCGGGCCTGCTGCGTTTCCTTGTTTCTGCATCCATGCTTTTTACGCTGGGCTCATGTTACGCTGCCAAGTTACTCCTGGGGGAATTCTGCGCTACTGCGTGTGCTCATAATTAACAAGTCCTGCAGATTTTTAAATTTTTGAGCAGAAAAAAGCTTCTGCTGAAATGTTGCTGCAGTTCTGACTTTTGCCCACTATAGGGCACTGTGGCACTGGGACAAAGCTGCAGCTCCCCACCAGTGAAGGAAGAGTAAGCGCCTGCCTTCTTCACAGTGCCTGTCAGGCCAGAAGACAGGGGCTATGGGGAGACAGACAGCGTGGGGTGCTGGGGGGTCAGATGGGCTCACAGGAGCTAATGGGGAGGACAGATTGGGGCAGGAGCTCAATGGGAATGGAGGCGCAGGGCCATGCGGGGGAGGGAGGTACAGAGACATATGGTGATGAGGGAGGGGTGCAGAGCTACATAGGGATGGGAGTGGCTGGGTGGGGGGACAGAGACACAGGGATGGGGGAGGGAGTACAAAGCCACATAGGGACAGTGGGAGGGGGTGCAGGGCCACTTGGGGATGAGGGTAGTGGGTGTCTGAGTGGGGGTGGAGGGACACATGGGGACAGGGGCAGATGTGCCTGACTGAATGGGAGAGGCTCCCTACCAGTCCCTCCCTCCATCCCCGCAAAAAACCCAAGTTCACACGCAGGCTTCTTCCCAGCAATTTACCTCCCTCTCCCTCAGCTCCTCCGTTACCCCTGACTCCCCCGAGCCTTTGCACTGTGTCAGAGGGGGGCGGGAAATACAGTTCAGGGTTGTAGTTTAAATGAATTATTACTCAGAGTTCTGTATTAATATGCCTAGTAAGGAATCTTTGTCAAAAAACATTACAGACAACAAAAAAGATTCAAGTATTGTTACAGACATACTTGCTGACAGGTATTTTGAAATAAATGACCAAAAATAATTGAAACTGGTGTGATTATATTGTGTTATGTAGAATTTTATATGCAGAATTTTAAAATATTGTGTGCAGAATTTTTAATTTTTTGGTGCCGAATCCCCCCAGGAGTAGCAAGGGCAGTTCCAGGCACAAACACGATATTTTCCAAGGGTTTCTTCTTTCTTCAAGAAAATGCCCTTCAATAGGCTGGAGTCAGACGTGAATCAAAACCTTTGGCCTTTAAAACGACCTGCTGCAGTAAGTGAACTTCACATAGGACTGCGGGGGCTGTTTGGGGGCACAATGAGCCGGGTTTGGGGGTCTAATGAGGCGGGTAATTATAAACCTTCGCTCTTAACTAGTGCTTCCCAGCAGCGGATCTCCAAACTTGTCACAAAGCTGGGCTGCTACAACAGCAGGGTGGGTGTTTAACTGTCACACTGTCCGGAGTGGCTCCCACACACAGAGCAGATACACCCAGACTGGTGGTGTAGTCTGTAATTAGATTTCCCTGAGCCAGTAATGGTTGAGAATGCCTGGACTATGGCATAGAGTCCCAGACAGTCCCCTTGGGCTCTCCAGTCCATCTCGCCACCCAGACAAGCTGGACTTAGTGATCACTGACACGTTCAAGTCACGTCCAGTCCCAAGAGACCATGCACCCCAGATCCATGGGAGCCTAGAGCAGAGGTCCGCAACCTTTCAGAAGTGGTGTGCCGAGTCTTCATTTATTCACTCTAATTTTAAGTTTCGCATGCCAGACATACATTTTAACGTTTTTAGAAGGTCTCTTTCTATAAGTCTATAATATATAACTAAACTATTATTGTATGTAAAGTAAATAAGGTTTTTAAAAGCTTCATTTAAAATTAAATTAAAATGCAGAGCCCCCCGGACCGGTGGCCAGGACCTGGGCAGTGTGAGTGCCACTGAAAATCCGCTTGTGTGTGCCGCCTTTGGCACGCGTGCCATAGGTTGCCTATCCCTGGCCTAGAGCAACAGTTTTCAGCCTGTGGGCCGCGGACCCCATGTGGGCCGCAGACTCTCCAACAGGGGCCGCACCGCCATTCAAACTTTTTTAGAGGTCTGGAGATGGGAAAAAAAGGTTGAAAACAACTGGCCTAGATCTTCCCCCAAAGACGATGCCTGTAGTTTATTACAGGATCAGCCATCTATTAATTAGGAATAAGAGTTATTTACAAATTAAGCAAGCAAACGTATGTTGGTGGGGGTCCAGCTCCCTCCTCCCTCTTAGTTCCCAGACGCAGTTCGCTGGAAATTAACAGTCCAGAGCACAGCCTGCAGGCAATTCGATGGGTTTATTGGG